CTGCCTGGCGAACTGCAGCGTTTGCTCGGCGGCGCGTGGGCCCCGCAGCGGCGGAGCCGAGGTTGAAGCGCGTCGGCGCGGGCCCCTTGCCATGGCGCGCGGAGCGTGGAGGAAGCAGAGATAATGGGCATCGCTTGCCCAGGGGGACTTGGAGGAGAGCTCTGGAACGGAGAGGACGCCTGGCGGCTGCGAGCACAGAAAGAGAGAGATAGAGAGAGAAAGAGAGAAAGAGAGAAAGAGAGAGAGAGAGAACAAAACAAAAACGAAAAAAACGAGAGAAAAAGAGAAACAAACAAAACAAACACCATAACACAAACTTCAAAAAGCTGACGCCATTGAAAAGGCCACCGACAGCGAACTCTCTCAGCCGACAGCGTGACAAAACTGATGCGCGTCAGTCTCCGTGACGCCGCCCTCTAGGGGCGCTGCAGCAGCGGGAATGTCGGCGTCTGCGCAACGCAAGGGCAGCAACACCTCACGCTGCCTTCGCAGGGGGTTCAAGCATCCAGAGGCCCAGCATGCCCGCGCACCGTCTCCAGCGCCTTGTGTTTACACCTTCCACCGTGGGGGAGGGACCCAACATCTTCTGGGCAAGGGGACTCCCGTCGACGCTGAGATCCTGCACGCCGCCTCCTTCTCCAGCTTGGACGTCTCGACGTCCTCCGCGGCCTTCTGGATGTCCTGATCCTTGAGATTCGTCGCTCCGCAGAAGGCCTCCGCCGCGGCATCACCTAACGCTCTCGACGAGGTGCGCGCGAGGGATGAGGGGAGTGCCAGCTAGCACTTTCCCTCGCCGCCCATAGAAGTGTCCCTCCGATCTTGCCGAGGCCGATCGACCGCGCGGCGCCCGCGAGGGCCATCGCCGAGCTCGCGATGCTCTCCTGACTGCGAGGGCAAGAGCCCGCGTGCTGGCCGCAGGTAATTACTCGGCTTCGCGCTTACCATACAAGCCCCCCCCCCCCCCCCACGACCTGACGCCAGGGCACCCACCTAACCTGGCGCCGCCCTCAGCGGCAGCGCACCCGGCGCTTTTGAACGCAACCTGGCGCCAGGTGGTCAACCTGGCGCCACCCCACGAGCACTCGCCCAGCACGCGCAGCGGCAGCCGTGGACCCCCTCGGGTCTCTCTTATCAGAGCGGGCCCCATCCCCCTCGGGCTGCGCGCCCACACGGTTGCCGAAGGAGCCCGGGATGCACCGCCTCGCGGGCCGCCCGGCAGTCCTCTATGCCCGCGGGGGGGTCCTACTGCGCGTGTGTACGCCCAGACGGCGGCTCTGGCCGCCATGAGCGCGCTGGCCAGCTGCTCCACCAAGTATGCGAGCGATTCTTCCCCGCGGGCCTCCGCGAGCTCCTGCTGGTCACCTAGGGCCTCCAGCACGGCGGCGGCAGGACGCCGAATACGTTCATCCTCCTGTTCTCCTCGATTGTGTCAAGTGCAAAATAGTCTCCTTCACTGTGTCCTTGATAACCGCCATCGGCTTCCCGTGCGCGCACAGTGCGCCAGGCCTCTTCGCCTCTTCTTGCCCACGACCATCTTTCCGATCTTGAGGGCGTCTTCGTCTGAGCCCAGACTGCCGCTGGCACCCGCGCAGGGCGCGACGCCCGCGCGGCGCATGCCCCGCTGCCGCCGATTTGCCCTCTCGCCATCCTTCAAGAAGGCGTCGGCCCCACGGTGGCAATGCATCAGTCGTCCCGCCCTTCGTTTTGCAAGAGGGCGGCTTGTTGGGTTTGGGCCCGGCTGCCAGAATGGTTTTCGTACCCCCTGAATGTCTGAACTCTGGGGTGGGTCAATCGCGCGGACTGGGCCCAGGTTTGCCTGCTCGCCTTCTGCCCGCAGTCGCGGGCCTGCGGCCTTTTCGCCTTCCCCCGCTGAGCTGCCATCGCCGTGGTGGCGCTGCGTTCAGCTCGCGCTCAAGTGGCATGCGCAATTGCGTCCCACGGGCTGCGCTGGCTTCTCTGCTTGCAGAGGGCTCGCCAGGCGCGCGCGCGCGCCTGGGGCCAGCTCCCCGCGAGGGAGCGGTCACCTGCCTGGACAAGGCAAGCCCAGGACAGCCGCAGCTCCTGAACGAGGCACGAGCCCCTGCAGCCACGGGACACTCTCCATCGCTCGGACGTCCATTCCCTGTGCATTCCTCGTTTTCATGCGTGTTTTTCTTGGCCCGATGGTCGAGGATGCTCCTCGATGGTCCTCGCCGGGGAAAAGAGGCACACGTCCAAGCGATGCCAAGGACAAGACCACGCGGCTCGCCGCTGGACCCTGGACCAGGGACGGGCCCCTGCCTGGGCAAGGCAGGCCCGCGCGGCCGCGAAGCGCGCACAAGACGTCAGGGCGAGGGTCGGTGGTGTCTGGCGTGGCGGAGGCGGGCCAGGGCGAGTGCATCTGGGCAGGGCGGGCCAATGCGATGGCAGGAAGGCGCAGTGCTGCGCGTTTTTCCCGCCCGGCGATAAGCCTAGCTGGCGCTCTGACTAGCTGGCGCAGGTGGCGTGAAAGCCATCCGAA